AAGGCAACTCCGAGCAAGTGTCAAACCTGAGGAGCTCAGACAGAGACTCCAGCCTTCTGATTTGATCTCAGGCCACCAGCGCCCCCTGACCACACCCATAGGCCATCACAAATACTCTGAAGGGGACGGCAAGCCAGATTTCAACCTCCAGGTCTAAAGTCACACAGAAAGAAGCTGGATGTCTACATTCAAATATTTAGAGCTGTTTTACTGACAATAGCCCTAAGTTTGAAGTACTCAAGATGTCTTTCTTGGTAAATGGATAAACAAACTGCACAACACCTAGACAATGGAGTATTTTCAGTGATTAAAAAAAATGAGCTAGCAAGTTACAAAAAAACTAGGAAGAAGCTCAAATATGGAAAAAGTCCAACCGTTGTTAATATGATGAGAACAGTTTGTGTAACACTGATGTAACCTGGCAGCCAAGGAGAGTGGACTGGAATGTGCATGAATGAACAGTGACAGCTTCACTGTAGTAGTCAGTGGGGTGGTAGATGCCATTGAGTGAGCACATGTACTGTGTGGCTATCACATTCAAAATGACTGAATAGAGCAACAAATCTGCATCAAATTTTTCGTTAAGTTTGAACAATCTTCCAGGGAAACTATTCAGATGCTTCACAAGGCCACAGCTATGGGCAACTGGTGAGTGCCAGCTTCATTACAACAACACACCTGCTCATGCACCAAGTCTTTTACAGAGTTTCTTTGCAAAACATCAAATCACCCAGGTGACTCAGCCCACTATAGCCCAGATTCGGTGCTCTGTGACTTCTGGCTTTTCCCAAAACTAAAATCACCTTTGAGAGGGAAGAAATTTCAGCCTATCAACGAGATTCAGGAAAATACAATGGGGCAGCTAATGGGGATTGGGAGAAGTGTGTGAGGTCCAAGGTGCTTACTTTGAAAGGGACCAAGGTGTCATTGTCCTGTGTACAATGTTTCTTGTATCTTGTATCTTCTTCAATAAATGTCTCTATATTTTTATATTTCATGGCTGGATACCTTCTGGATAGACCTTGTATACTGCTACACAAAAGAAGCAGTTTGCAAAATGCTATACACTGTATAATTCCTGCTATATGACATTCTGGAGAAGACATAGCTACAAAGAGTAAAATGATCGGTGGTTGCAAAGGCTCAAGAGTCCCTGAGGAAGGGACAAACAGGTGAAAGACAGAGATGTTTCAGGTCAAACTGTTCTGCATGGCACTGTAATGATGGATATATGACATGTATTTCTCACAACCCACAGTACAACACAAAGAGTGAACCTACAGCAAACTATGCAATTCAATTAATAACAATGTGTCAATATTGGCTCATCAATGGTAACATACGTACCTCATTAATGTAACATGTTAATAATCAGGGAAGTGGGGAGAAGAGTTAACATATGGGAAAGTTTGATACTTTCTACACAATTTGTTTTCTAAATATGAAAGTGCTCTACTAAAGTCTATTAGAAAAAGTATATGAGCGCATAACCAAAGATGACCAAAAAATATAACAAAACAAGCAACATGAGTGAGGATCATAAGGAACCCCCAAGTCATTTAGATCCTGGAATCATTACATAGGAGCTATAAAATAGTCATAGGTAATTGCAAAAATAGCAAGCAACAAAAGATAATCAAAAGTGACCAAATATATTTGGAAAAAACCTAATTTCATGTCTGAAAAAGTACAATGGCTGAAACTTTAAAAGTCAACAGGAGGAGTAAACAGCCGATAAGAAAGAAGTACCTAAAGAGACCCAGGTGGATCTAAAGACATTTTCCAGATTCCACTAAGTGCCATGTATGAAAAAAGTAAAAAGGAAACTAATAGATCTGGAGGCAATAACCAAGTTTAGCATACATTTAATTAGCGTTTCAAAATTAAAGGAGGACACTATGCTACAGACAGCCAACTTCTCAACAGAAGCAACAAAAGGCAGAACACCTGGAAACTATAATCAGAAGTGAAAGAAAAGAACTCTCAACTAAGGAAAGGATTTTGTTCCTAGTAAAAAATAATGTTAAATTTATAACATCTAGTAAAAGAGACTTAAAACAGGTAAAGTAAGAAATTAACAGAACTTCAGGGGGAAAATGATAACTAACATTGTAGTGGGAAATGTCAGTAAGTCTCTCTCAATAGTTGGTGTCAAAAATAGTAGTAAATAGATGATTTAAACACAATTAATAAGCCTCATTTGCTCGTCGTGTATAAGGAATCCTGCACTTTTCCCCATTCTCCTCAAGGCCACATGGAACATTTGTAAAACCTGATGGTAAAAGGGTCAAAATGCAAGTCTCAAAATATTTTTGTACAATTGATTATCATCATAACTCCATTCTCTTGCCACAATTAATTAAGAATTCAATAACATGGATGGAACTGGAGAGCATTGTGCTGAGTGAAATAAACCAGGCAGCAAGGGATAAATACTGTATGATCTCACCTTTAACTGGAACCTAATCAATAGAACAAAAAACAAGCAAAATATAACCAAAGACATTGACATTAATAACCATCTGACAGTAACCAGAGGGGAGGTGGGAAGGGACAATGAGGGGTGGAGGAGGGGAAGGGAAGGGTTTTCAGGAACGACTATAAAGGACACACGGACAAAACCAAGGTGGGGGTAGAAGCAAGGCAGAGAGGTGGGGATGCTGAGGTTGGTGGGGAAGGGGTGGAGGGTAAACGCAGACAACTGTAACTGAAAGACAATAAAATTATTTTTTAAAAAAGAATTCAATAACAAAAAATTGCATATACATTTGGAAATTTTAAGACTCACTTCCAAGTAATTCTGAGCCAAAGAAGAAATCATAATGGAAATGTTTAAGTACCTGATACCAAATGATAGTAAAAATACCATTTGTCAAAATTTGTGGAATGCAGCTCCTTAAAAGAAAAATATACCTTTAAAATTTTTTAAAGTCTGAAAAGTATGCCAACATAAAAGCTTAGAGAATTAGTAAAATAAATATAATAAAATAGGAAACAGATCCAAAAGCTTAACAAAGCCAACAGCAGGTTCTTGGAAAAGGATGAAATAGGTATCACTGTGGTAGGGTGGAGTTACAGAAAGTAAAGGAGACAAAATAAAACAGCATCAAGAATGATAACGGAGCAAAAACTGTACTTGAAAAATAACTAAATAAAATTTTAAAAAAAAAGAATGAAAACGGAGTATAAAGCTACAGATATAGACGATACTAAAAGAATGTGAACAAACTTATACCAATAAATTTGAGAATTTAACATATGTGATTATAAAACTATATAGCACTGACCCAAAATAGAAATTTTAAATTTATATCATGAAGTGCAATCTTACATTAAAGAGTCCGGAATTTAACAAAAAGACCTGAATTAAAAATCTCAGCTGAGTCACACAGAGCTGCTTGACAGTGAGGAAATCCTTGTGTTTCAGCTGATTCATCCTTGAACCTGTGATCTCTATACCGATCTCCAAGGTGCGTTGCAACATTTAAAAAGAAATAACATGTATAAAAATGTCTGCTATAAGACTCAGTATATAGCGGTGATTCAACCTTTTTCATCTCATGGCACACATAAACTAATTATTAAAATTCTATAGCGCACCAAAAATACATTTTTTTGCTGGTCTGACCAAAACTAGGTATAATTTTGATTCATTCATACTAGACAGCTCTTGTTGCGTTGGTTGTTGTCATTTTTTAGTTCGACAGTCTAAGGGAAAAGAGGTCAGGGGCCCTCACTAAATAGTCAGGTACTGCATGTTTTAAAAATTCTGACAGCACAATAGTTAAAAAGCACTCATATATAGGAAGTACTAAATAAGTGGCTAAATGAATATTAAATTTTCTCAAATATGCTGCGGAAGAACTCTATTTCAACAACAAAAGCATTAGGAAATCACAGAAAAAGTTCCTAAGAGATTGAGTGAAACTTTGTGGAAAGCAGACACCCCCAGTGGAACTCCCCTTCACAACTTGTCAGCATCTGGATGACTCTATCTCCTAGTCTGGCGTCACTCCTCACTACAAAACAGTCTGGGTATTCCAACACACAGAAAAGCGGGAGGCAGTTAAACCCCTCTAAGTGGTTTGCACTTCTTCAGATTAAAAGACAGCTAAAACGACATTTTAAGAAACTATGTTATCAATTATGACATTGGCACCAGTCTCCTTATCTAAGTATTACCGTCCAAATGCTGCTTAAAAAATTCTGATGGTTATTTAGTATTTAGTGAAATGTGAAAACAGCAACTGATTAACCCACTGAAAACTAAAACTAATACAGCAGAAGGTTTACGACCATCATATCACCACTCTTCAGATCAAACATAGATTTTTGGTATTTTCACATTGACAGTAAAGCACTCGATCAGTCCTTTCATTTAGATATTTTTACATCTCATATAAGAATAGGTAATAACGAAAGGAATGACTTACAAGTTATAATAAATAGCCACAGTAAGTGGTAACAATAAAAATTCACCTCTTTTCTTAGGTCTACAGTTAAGACACATACCTTTTTCTGCATCTCATTCCCTCCTATTATCCTGATTCCTGGATTATATGATTTATAGTGAAAAAGGAAAAGAGCGAAAAAGTAGGAAAATGAGGTACGATGTGGTAGCAATTGATGCGATACTCAAAGTGCAGGTTTATAGTTAATTGACTTGGCAAATGAAAAATTCTATGATCTGTTACTAAAAAGCTTTTTTTCTTTCTTTTTTAATTTTTATTTATTTATCTTTAGAGGGGAAGGGAAGGAGAGAGGGAGAGAAACATCAGTGTAGGTTGCCTCTCCTGTGTCCCATGCTGGGAACTGGCCTGCAACCCAGGCATGTGCCCTGACTGGGAATCGAACCGCAATTCTCTGGTTTGCAGGCCTGAGCTCAATCCACTGGGCTACACCAGCCAGGACACTTTTTTCTTTATGTATAATTTTTATTGTAGTGCATATGATTTAAAAGATATTATTTGAATTATTTCGAAGTAGATATTGAAACAAACCTCAATTGGCTCTTCACCCCCTTTCACTTGATTTTCACCCATTTCTCCATTCTCATAGCTGCTGCTCTTCTCCACCCATAACTCGGACTTTTCTACGGTCAGGCGGAGCTGGTCTAGATCCGCCTTTATCTGCTTGTAGTTATCGACATCCTGATTGGACACCAGCAACTGCACCTGGAAGCAGAACAATTTCAACCCTTAATTTACTTAATGACTTTATTTCCATTTCCTTTATGTCTAAAGTTCCAAGTCCTTCAACATATTTCTCTATCAGTTGAAGAATAATATTTCTAGAATTTTATGGATATTTTAAATGTATACTGACCATGACAACTTACCTGGAAATATCTGTGAACTCTATCCAACAGATTCGCATGTTATTAAGAATTGCATATGTAAAAGGAATGAGCCCTAACCAAGCTTTTCAAAGTGCTAAAGAGGAATTTAAAATAAGAGGTACCGTAATTCTAATTTCATTGTTAAAGTTAAATTTTCTGAGACTCTCTCTACCTGTTTTAAAAGAAGTAGAAACACAAAAATAAGTGGAAGAAAATACTGATACAGTCTAAACCTCTTATCAACTTTAATTTATCATAATTCATATGTATTGTATGACATACAAATATATGTGTAATTATATCAATTTATATAATTACTCTTATTTCATTTTTAAATACTCTTTTAAAGCTTTCTATTGAAGACTAATGCTCTAATAAATAGAATAAATACTAGTGAAACACACGTAAGCACTTAGGTATTTACTATTCACTAAGTGTCAAGATTGAAGTCATTCAAAAATAACAAAGAAAAGATTAGTCCATAATAATTCCTTTCTTTTGGATGTCAACATTTTTCAATCATATAACCAGAGACATGGAAATTAAGGACAATCTAACAATAGCCACATGGGAAGCGGGAGGGGACAGTGGGGAGGAAGGGTTTTCAGGAACTACTATAAAGGACACATGGACAAAACCAAGGGGGAGGGTGGAAGCAAGGGAGGGAGGTGGGTTTGGCTGGGGTAGCGGGGAATGGTGGGGAAAAAATGCAGACAACTGTAATTGAACAATAATAAAGTAATTTCAAAACAATAATAATAAAAATAACAAAGAAAAGATTAGGTCCATAATAATTCCTTCCTTTTGCATGTCAACATTTTTCGATGATGTAACATTTTCTTTCAGTGCTTCTGCTTGCCCTACCCAAATTTATCAGTAAATCTGAGGTCAAAATAGTAGCTATGGCAACAAAATTCCTAACACCATATTATCCCCCAGTGCCTTCCTAAATCTTAGTGCCTATCAGTTACATTAAAGATATTAACTGAAAATCACTTGTGGGAACTCTTTTTAAAATAGATCATGTCTTGGTCTATGACAAGGCCATATCCATCTTTAAAAACAAAAAAAGTGTCCCCAGGAACAGCTGCACAGTCTCATTATCAGTACAACCATGAAGTCGGGCTGGACGTCACCATCAACACTTGCAGAGCACCTGCTCCGGAACCCCCGAGGGTACTCCATCCTACCTGCTTGAACGCCTGCAGAACTTCCGCCCTCTGGCTGAAGTGCTTGAACAGAAGCTGCAGAGCTCCGGACAGCAAAGGAGGGTAGTCGTGCATGATCAGATGAATGAGGACCCGCAAAAACGTCCTGCCTCCTTCATCGTCAAGTTGAACTGGATTCTTTTCCTTTCTGTGAAACCAAAAATAATTCTTAAATAACCTATATTTATATCAAACCTACTCAAAAGTAGTTAAAACCATGTATGCATGCTGAGTCACATCACTTCTTTCCCCAAACTGGAAACCAAAGAGGAAAACATCGTTTTCTTCTTTCATGTAACTGATAAGGAAACAAAGCACGAAGGAAAGCTTGTTTGCCCATGAAAGCAGGGGTGACCAACTGTCCCAGTGTGTCCAAGGCAGAGGGGGTCTCCAGCACTTGGGTTTGCAGCACGGGCACTGTGTGCTGGGCACACAGGAATGAGCTGGTTGATGAAGCACAGAAAGAAAGATGGGAACCTAAATCAACCCAACAGCATTCGCTGGGAAGACACACTCGGCTGGATGTGCGCCAAAGGCTGACGTCCCCTAGAGCACATGCGCACACGCAGGCCACCGCCACGGCACCAGCTTTGTGCGCTTCCTTCATTCGGACTCTGAGCGAGATTGCACTCCTTGTAAGGCAACTATCAGACACTGGTTTATTCTCCCTTCTCGGGAATAATGAAACGCTTGAGTGGGACAACAGCCGGTAACAACAAAAACCAGCAAAACGGTATTTTAAAAAGCTAAACCAAACGTTCTTCAGAGATAAAAATCCTCTGATTCCCTTGATCCTTTATTCTCGTTTGTCTTCCTGACCAAAGCAAATGCAACAAAAGCCTCAGCGTATAAACTCGTTTAGGTTCTCGTGGCAAATCGGTAATAAAAATGAATGCTAGAAACTCAATAATTTGTTGCTTAGACATTTTACTTTTCTTTTGGACTGCTATTAATTTCACTTTTGAAAAAGAAGGAAATGAGTTTAAAATAAACAGTACACAGCAGGGCTCCCAATCGCAAAGGAGGGTGGTCATGCCACAGGGGTTTGTTTCATTTTCTCTAATCACAGATATTTACAATTGGCAGAGAATATCTTTATTTCTTGTGTATAAAGTTAATGATGACAGTGAAAGAAGAATTTTCTTGCCTCCAATTCCTCAGATTTAGGGAGGTAATGTTTTGCAAGATGCAGCAATATCTGTACCAGGGGAGCTAAATATCACTGGTGTGCTGTCATTATTTGATGACAGAAAAAGAATTCAGGGAAAAGTTCGATACACTGATCTGTTCTCCTGGCCTTCCTTTTCTACCTGACCTAAAGAAAAAGTTTTCATTTCTCTTCCACTGTAAATTAGCAGCTTCATTTCTGGTAAATTTATGACTTGAAATTAAATAGACCTAGGAGGTGAACAATAACAAATTATCGATAAAATTCTGAGTAAAATTTTATTCACAACATAAAGAAACAGAAATGTTACTTTACCTTCCAGCAAACATAGTTTCTGCCTGAGCCGCAATTTCATCTATATCAGGAACAATAGCTGCAAAGATAAATGGTAAAATCTCTCATTTATCTTGCTGTAATTTAGGCACAATATGTATATTTATATACCTAAAAATTGTCTTGATTCCTTTATGGCACAAAAAGTCACAATAGCCCTGGCCAGTGTGGCTCAGTTGGTTGGAGTGTCGTCTTGTAAACAGAAAGGTAACCAGTTCAATTCCTGGTCCGGGCACGTGCCTGGGTGGCAGGTTTGGTCCCCAGTCAGGGCACATGTGAGAGGCAACTGACTGATGTTTCCCTCCCTCTCTCCTTCCCTTCCCCCCTCTCTAAAATCAATAAGCATGTCCTTGGGTGAGGATTAAAAAATAAGTCACAATATAGTTTTCCCTTAGATAACAATATTTTAAATTGAATTTTATGTTTTAAAATATATATTGCTAGCCCTGGCTGGTATAGCTCAGTGGATTGAGCGCAGGCCTGCGAACCAGAGGATCACGGTTCAGTTCCCAGCCAGGGCACATGCCTGGGTTGCAGGCCAGTTCCCAGCAGGGGACGCACGAAAGGCAACCACACATTGATGTTTCTCTCCCTCTCTCCCTCCCCTCTTAAAGATAAATAAATAAAATCTTTAAATAAATAAATTAATTAAATATATATTGCTATAGCCAAAGATATATTTAAGTGCAGTGATTGCCAGGGCAGGGGGTATAAAAGAGGAATAAATGGTAATGGTAAAAATAAAGTAAAAAATAAAAAAAATATATATTTAAAAGGTCAGAAAGGACCATTTACGAAGCTGCCTCATCTATATGTGTATATATATGTGCATCGACCACACACAAACATATATATATATATACATGTAATTTAAATGGGTGATGGCATGAAAGGATAATGTTTTTGAAAGAATCAAAATATACCTATAATGAACCTTATGACTACAGAGTAATTCAAAACGGCACCACCTATTTCCCTAAGCTGACACCTCAACTGCCATCCTTCCTTCTCCTGGGTCCCAGTGCCCAGTTATTCTTATATGAACCCACCGTGATTCCTCACCCATCCCCACCACTAATATTTAAAGATGTATTGATTAAGATAACATGTTTAAATGATAAATACACAATTGATTTCTCATTCCCGAGGCATAGAAAAAAACAGAGAAAGATATAAAAAGGGAAAAAGAATTCTCCCCAGAAAGTTCCCTGTAACAAATACAACCAATGCCAGACACCAGGTGCATCAGAGAACTGGTTTTCTGGGGTGCCCACAACTTTCCCTGCCTCACTTTGCTGACATGTAGAGCTCCTGTTTCCAGAATTCTGGCTCCTGAGAGCCAGTAATTTTTATGCTACTGTCAGTGCAACCGCCAGCAAGACTTTCTGGTTCTGCCATATCATTCCTGGAAACAGCCCTTCGGGGTTCTGCATTTCTGGGAAGCGTAAAAACAACACAGTTGCAAATGTGCCAGAAGGACTTCTCACTCGGGCAAGCTTACCGGTGTGCAAAGGCACGCTGCCTTCTGTGTGGCACTGAGTCACAGAGGGGAACACTTGATCTAGCACCCATTTTAACTAAACACTTGAAATCACCGAATCATCCCTGTCAAATTGACTGACATACAAAGAGGGAGGTTCGTCACAGCAGCTATGGTTAGAAAAGAGTTTCCTATCTGTATACACATCCTATCCGCAGAAAAAGAGTTCTGTTAACTGGCTAAATCTTGGATGCGACACTTCACAGCCTGCCACGGCTGGCCCGATCTGTCCAGGATAATAGTAATTAATATTTCTGAGGTGTCATAAGGTACTTTCTATAGCCACAGTATCTTTACAATAATTTTTCTCTTCTTTCATTACTATGGTCTCACACTCAGAGATAAAGTGGCTTTATTCTTATACTTTTTAAATGTGAAAAACTGAAATACTGGAATAGTTTATAACCATGCAAAGCTAAAAACAACACACATACGCACAGGAAAACCACCACACACATGCACACGTTCATACCATGGGGAAAGGCCACATCTGTATTTCAAGAGTTGGACGGTGCCTTCCTGTAAAACACCTTTCCTGTCCATGGCTTTCACATTGTTCTTTGATCCAGGCCAAAAAACACAAAAATTCCCTTGGATTTTCACCGAAAATAGCAGAGTGGTTACAAGATTTTGACTCTGGAGTTGGAGAGAATTCAGAGGGAATCCCTGCTCCACACCTTATGACCTTTAACAAGTAACTTTAACCCCTCCGACCTTGGGGTTTTTCAATCTGTAAAACGGCACAATACCTCCCCCGTGCAGAGCTCCGAAGATCACAGTGAAACTGCATTCAAGCACCAGGAAACAGCAAACATTCTCCCTGCCGTCCCAGGCAGGTTATTTGACACTCTGGCTCAGTCCCTTCGTGTCATTGGTGGAGATTATTGCCACTGTGTTTTAACATATGAAGTGTACTTTCAAGTTCTCGGGGAAACAAAAAGCAACGAGTAGATACTGTGACAAAGGAGATACCTGATGGCATCAATGTATCTGGAGAGCCATTGGCAGACGTCTCAGCGTTCTCATTGTTCTCCCCGAATTCCTTCTTGTATATCGACAGCATGTAAGAGATCCTATAATCCAGTCTGACGCTCAGGATAAACTACAAGAAACATTAGAAGCACCATAATTTTCTTTGGTTAGCATGATGTTTAAAATACAATTCAGTACACAACACCAAGAACATAACTATCAAGATATCACATGAACTAGTTAGAAATTCACTGGTAAATGCTTAACGCTTCAGCTGCATACAGTTCATCAGTCATGAAACCAAGAAAAGTGATGTGTTTCCCAAAGCATTTTTTGAGAGAAGAAAACCTGACTTTTCATGATTACTTCCTGACTATTCCGGGTGAGGTCTCCTGTGGGTCTAGATGGAGAGGTAGCAATGCCACAGTCCGACTTGGCTCTAGGCTACATGGGGCTCTGAAGTCACACACCCTGACACAGCATGAATGTGCCTCACTGGTGCTTGTTTTCCTTTGGGTTTGTGTGATTGTCGCTGTTCTCCTTAAGTGACGCAATGACAGGAACAAACTGCCAATAAGATTCCTGTCTGCGCTCAGCACTAGGAAGGATGCAAACCCCTGAAGTCTACTGCCCTCAAGAAGCCAATGTTGAGTTGGGAAATCAAAACACGTATTTGTGACATAATTAGGAAAGTGTCAGGGGCTAAATCGTGTGGCATAGAATACAGCGGAGATCAAAGAGGAAAAAATACGTCCCACAGCTTTCTGAGTCGACAATAGGGAACTGGTCTTCCACAGCGTCACCTTCAACCCAGTGTGCCTGACCTAAGCCCTGAAGTAAATCTTGTCCCAGCAAAATTGCCGTCATGCCCCGACCCGCTCACGAGTGTCACTCGCACAGTAAACAATGATCATGTGATTTCGGAAAACTTGGTATTCTGCGGTAGCTTCTAACCTTATTTCACGCCATGGCCCGCTTGCATCCCGCCCCACCTCCCCTCCCTTGGCCTGCCCCTTCTCTCATTCTCTCTCCCTCCCTCACTTCTCTGTTCCAACAGCACAGGACAGAGGGCCTGCAGCTTCTCTCCTGCCTCCTCGCATTTGTTCACAATGTCCACTTTACACCTTGAACAGTCTTCTTCACCAATCACCAGCTTCTGAGACATCCTCCAATGTCCAATTTAAAACTCTCTCTCTTTTTTTAATTACTGACACTTTCTTCGGCTCCCCAGCCCAAATCAATTTTTCTCCTTTTTGCTCACCCAACACATTATTTATACCTATAGGTCCAAAGTTGAATCTCTCTCTCTCTCTCTTATGCTCCTTATGGGCAGCAAACATGCTCCACGTCAGTCAGCCATGTTCAGTTAGGTCCAACAAACACTTGTTAGGCTAGGTACTTGAGGAAAGCACCAAGGGTACAAACAGAGTGCCACAGATATAAGGCCTGCCTTTGAAGAGCATATAATCCAGAGCAAAAAACAAACATGAAAGACACTCTTTTATGAGCATGGAGTGAGCACGGCATATTGTCGGAACTGATTCTTGCTGATAGGGGATTTTCAAAGCAGGAGACAGGTCATGGGAAAAGAGGCCACAGGGTCGATGGATCTGGCTGCTTTGAGCAGAATGGTGGGAGCAGAAGCTAAATAGCAAGTGCTTTTAAAAAATGTGTTTTTATTGTAAACCTATGTAAAAAGCAAATCAATAAAATATCAATTAACGAAACACATTAACTTTTAGTTGAAGTCTAAGCTTCATAGAACTGTACTTTATAAATATAACCAAAATAAAATTTTTCTTCCTCTTATATATAGGTTAGGAAAAGTAGGTTTACAGTTGTTTATATGGAAAATAACAATCAATATATAATTATACGAGAATAAACTATGATTCATGTACTTACAACTGTAAACGTACTTTTACCCCACCTTGTATTGAATTATGAAAAATCAATGGGAGGTGGAAAGACAGAGGGAAAGGGAAGCACGGCCACAAAAGCAGGCCCTGGCCAGGCAGCTCAGCTGGTCAGAGTGTCGACCCAATATGCCAAGGGCGCCAGTTCGGTCTCCAGTCAGGGTGCATCAGGAGTCAACAAATGAATGCACAAACGAGTAGAACAATAAATAGACGTTTCTTTCCCTCTCTCAAATCAATAAAACAAAAAAATTTTTTTAAAGAGGCACAGAGAGTGTTGGGAGAGGGCCAGATAAAGATAGAGAGAGTGACGGAGGGACAGACGACGAAAGGAGAATCATGCAAAGTGATGGGGAAAAGAAAGGAGAACACGGCGAGGAAGAAGGGCCCGCAGCAAGCAGGGGGCTTGCACACGGAATCCGGCCACAAAGAAATTCTTCAAGAGGTCTTGTAAAAAAGAAACACATTCAAAAACAGCACCCAGGAGCACAGGCGCAGACACGGCCAGTCAGACCCAGCCCCAGACGCACAGAAAAACAGCAAGAGCAGAGCTTCAACAAGAAATACATGAAGAGACCAAAAGAGGCAGCAAACGTGAGTCAGCCCTAACCCGCCCCGACACAAGTTGTCCTTCTCATCATTTAGTTGTTAGAGATTTTTTTAACGCTGTCTTTCTCTGTAACTCTAGGCTAAAATGAGGAGCCTGTACGGTCATCCCAGGACTAGCATGATGTTAAGCTGCAGGCTAAGAAGGTCCACCGGTCAGGCGGTCACTACCCTTCTCAGCTCAGAACAGGAGGACTGAGGGATTTCTCAGGGTCCTGAGGACACTGTTGGGAGGCCTGCCAATATTTCTCAGGATCTGGCCCTCGGATTTCCTGGAGGAACTGTAAAACCTCTTATGATTATAAATCTAATTACTTTAAATAAAAACGTACAGGCCCTTCCTGGACGACTGACCCACTTCTGGTAGCTCAGTCTACTATAAATCATGATGAAAGACAATAAACTGTATCTAGATCTTAATGCATCTTTGAAAACTCCAAGCTCCATTCTCCAAATCTGAAATAAATGCTATGTATATAATTTAAGTATCATACTACTTTTCAAACTTTAAAAAAGTATTAAGAATTCATAGCTACCATAATGGGAAATTCACTAAACCAGTGGGCATGAAATAACAATTTATCTCCTTTAAATTCATAAAGCTACATTAACATATATATGTATATATATACACACATAAAAATTATATCTATGATATATTGTATTATAAATAAATTTTATATATTACATATGTTACTCCTGGCCACTTGGCAACAAAAATACAGAGATAGTCACTTATATAAAATACTAAAATCAATTAAAACCAATTATTAAAATGTTGTTAATAATAAATAAAATTTTATGTGAGTTTCTTGCTACAATGATAAATCTAGATACATAGAATCATGTGTCCAATTCAGTTAAAAATAAAAAGGGATAGAATTCAATCATTAATTTTGCCAGCTCTGAAATTCTTCTTAAATGAAGATGAAAGTAAATTAGGGTTAATACTAAATAAGAAAATACGTAAGAAAGAGGTTTTTTCCCCTGCAAAGCACTCCATCATTGTTAGATAGTATCATTAATGTATTTAATGGAAATTAAAATATATGATTAATATATTGAATAGCTCAGTGTGAGATTTCTTACTAGGCTTGCCAATATCTTAAAAGAAATAAAACTAGATCAAGAGCATTTCAGAGTATTTACACAGTGATTTGAAGCAAAAAACATAATTAAGCTGATAAGCACAATTAGGTATTTGTGGCTGTTTTCATTACACCACATACCTGTAAAATCTCAATAATCTTCAGTTTGGTGTCCATCACAGTCACATCTTCATGCTCGGCAGGGCTCCCTTGCTTGCTGGGGTGGATGCTCGGCTGAACATCGGGCACGTTCATGGGGAAGATGGAACCTCTGCTGAGCACCATCTGGGTCATCATCTCTCCCACCCCATGGATGGTTCTCATGACATTGTTTCCTGGCACGAGAAAAGTCCCGAAGTCAACACACAAAGCACCTGGCAAAACAGCAGCAAGTTCCAGTTGGTCACAACCAGACTGAAACCACGGCAGCAGCAGCACTGTGCTGGCCCTTCTCTTGCAGATGAAATGAAGACATTGTACACATTTCAAAATGACAAGATTTTTAAAATGAGTTTACTTTTCTCAGAAAATGCTTCCAAACAATGCATCAAGGATAACTTGTCCCTCTAAGGACATCCAGATCAGGTCCTCCTGAAACATGTTAGGTCCCACCAACCGTCATGCCAAGAAGCTCTAACATTCACAGTAACAGGAAAGACAGGTTGTTAATCTCCACGAAAAGGTAAGTTGGGGACACAGAGATTCCATGAAAACATTTAAATGGTGACAGGTGTCCTAACCCTACCTCAAACCAAGGACTTCTTAGCTTTGTTTTCACTGCTTATAAAAGAGCTTGTGGGAGGATTGTTTCAACTCATTTTTAAAAAAACAACTTTCCCCTGGTGAAGAATGACAGATTAACCAATATACTTCCCATTCTTTCATCCTATTTGAACAGATAATCATTAGACAAAGTCCACAAAGGCAATTATACTTGAGGTAATTACAGGAAACAAGTTCACATCAAACATAATCATTTCGGTGAGGGGTTCTCTCCTCTTCAGCACCTTCTTCTGAGCTGGGCTTCTCACTCGTGTGTCCTCCACTAAAACTGCACCCGCACTCATTCCTTGCACCCACCCCAGTAGCTAGAGGGAAGGCTCCTCCTGACCCTGCCACAATTTACATTCCCCAGACTGACTGTGGTTTCCCTAGCAGCAAGGATTCAAAAGAACAATTGTGTACTTTCCTTTGACAACAGTGGTCTTTGCTTCGTGGGTGTTCACAGAGCTTTGCCTCAAGCAAAGGCCTGAGAATCTGGCCAAAATTTTTCTTTTCCTTAAGTGTGTCAGGGTGCAAACCAAGAGAAAGGACAATGGAAATAAGAGGGAACAAGATACATCTCTCAGTTCTAAGTCAAGAACATAAACTGTGGGAATACCTACAGGATTGAAAGGCAAACAAATTTAAAAAAAGGAAAATAGTCAAAAGATGACTCAAAAGAATCTTGATGGCCCCACATAGGCAGACAGCAATTCCCACTGAGCCATGGGTAACCGCTAGTAGTTGCACAATGAGAAAGACGGAACACCCTTCAAAGTTTATTATCTTATCCATATCTGAAATTAGCATACATAAAAGGTGGTGGTGCTCAAATAACATATTTTTGAGAAGGCAAAGAAGTGAACATTTTTTTCTAGAGAGGCATCTTCCATGAAGAAATTAACTTGGGTTTTCGCTCTGAGAGTCTAGCACCTCTTATCACACTGCTGCTTACATAAGCCAATAAAAGAGCAGTGGGTGGGGGGACGCAGACAAGGAAAAAAACATGTAAGGTAATTTCCAAGTTTGGATAAATCGAGACAAAGAATTTCAGACAGCCCTATTGTATCAGAATAACCTCAAGGCAGAATGCTTCCTTGCCTGTGGTCCTCAAACAACCATAGCAGTTGAGTATTTCCAAACACCCCCCACTGTTTGCTGCATGGATTTCAGGGATGCACATCTGGTAGCTGGCAAGGGTTCGGGGTCATCCACGTTCAACCAACACGTTTATCTGAAACTTGATTAGAGTATGTATATGGGTTTGCCTCCAAGACGTGCTTTCTCACCACTAATGCAGAACAGGCTCCTGTGTTATTCTTATCCCTGATTCACACAGAAATCCTTGGCACCAGCAGTGTCTGCATCTTATTTAGATTTACATGGAAAATAATCATTATATCCAAGTGATTATTACACAGGAAGTTAGCCCAGACAGTTCTTCCCCCAGATATAGAATCTGTCACCATGAAATTGAAATCTAGAGGCCAGAGACATGATAATACGCAACACATGTTGTCGATGAACCGGGAGGGTTCATTCCAGATGCACCGCATCCCCAGAGGCCTGGAGGACGTGGCTGCCACAAACTCCCCTGACGTCTCCATGTATGGCCTGCTTGGAGGTCTCAAATTAAAAGACGTTATATATATTTGCTGCAGTTGCTTGGTGATGAGAAGTGCTTAAATTGTGCATTACTACAGTTTGAAAAACATAATTCAAACACCACATAAATCACAGACATGCAAAGCTCTGATATCCATTTTTCCACAGAAAAAATTTCTAATTCTAGACAAAGTCAGAGGTGATCAGTCAGCAGCATTGCACAAGAAGAAAACTTACTATTTCTCTTCTCAGCTATAATTAGTTAAAGCTACAGAAAAGTTTTCAGTGAAAAGGCTACTGTAATATAATACAAATCCTCTGGAAAAATTATACCCTAGAAATTCAGCTTTTCTATGTCTTTCATATTAACCCAAAAGTCAGAATTTAGATTTACCTATAAAGTCTATTGAAGTGGCTTGAAAAAGTAGGATTCATCTTTGTTGAGTAAAAGCATGAAGAAATTGCTTAGAAACAAAAGCAGATAAACTGTTTAGGTTCTTTCATTACATAACTATACAGATATGTGCACTATTCCTAATCGCCTCAAGAGGAAAACTCAAACGTGAACAGGTATAGCAAAATGCACACTAGGAGTGGTGACTGGGGATGGATTGAAAATACATTGCTTTGTCTCTTTGACAGTTCAAAATGAACCAAGTTTATATGAGCAATCCCATAGACATAGGAAGCAATAAGGTATTTATCTAACAATAAAGCTTTACTAACCATAATTTAATTTTTCTCTATTCAGTAGTCATTCTACTGCCGGTGATCACTACTGGATTCAACAATCTTTAACAATTTATGGATATATAGAAGGTATAAGACATTTAACAGCATCTTACTTGATTTAAATTTACCTTATATCCATTAGTGTTTTAAGTCATCTTTATCCATTATTTCTTTCTATTAGAAATAGTTTTCTGCTATGAGGACATAAGAATAAAAATGATAATTTGAATTTTCCAGTTGTTTAGATTTCAGATAAATAGACAACCTTCTGTGCATTTATAAGAGAAAACAGGCATTTGACTAGAAGAATTCTGTGAATAATTGCTCATAGCAATTTATTTGTTTTGTGACTACTGAAGTCAGCTCAATGTTTTATAGTAATAGCAACCAAAAAATGAATCATCTGAAAATCATTCTTATTTCCCTGAAACATATCTTTACAGTTGGATTTGAATAAATGCATCTACTGTTTTAGTTATTCATTCAAAACAGAATGCTGTTAAACCATAAAGATATAATCCAGGAAGTCTTTCTACTTCTCACCCCTGCTCCACAGCTCTGTATAGACCTCCACCTGCTAAAACCACATACACTCTAGAACTAGAGACACCTTCTTATTTCAAACAGTCTCTAAAGCAATGCTTCCTCCCAGTGATTAGGGTCTGGGTTATAAAAGAACTTTTCTGTGTGCAAAGAAAACAAAAACATTAACACAAGATCAAAAGCTTAATTAAGCTAGTGATATAAGCAGAGTAATAGGTAATATGGAGAAAATGGAAGATCAGAATTTAACACCCCAAGAACACAATGGATGAGCAGCACTCCCAGTTCAAAGTTGGATCACAGGGTTTCAGAGAGCGAGAGTTCCAGTCCTCATCAGGTTTTTACACCGTGTGTGGGGCCTGGTGGAAACCTGCCGTTCCTTTGCCTGGAGGTCTTTTTTCCAGCTGGTCATCTGGCTGGCTCCCTCGATACTTTCTGATTCCTCCCTTCCAAGTACTAACCAGGCCCGACCCTGCTTAGCTTCTGAGATCAGATGAGATCAGGCGCATTCAGGGTGGTATGGCCATAGACAGATACTCTCTGATTCCTGGTACAGTATCACCTCCTCAAATCAGTGTCACCTTCTCTAAGGAAGGACTGCCATCACTCTGGATCCACGCACCTGCTCAGTTTAGTCATGGCATCATCACCCTCACACACCACATTTGATATTTGTTCCTGTGATTACCGTACCCCCTAGAAAAGAACAGAGGCTCCATGAAGACAGGCATTTGGCCTGGGTTAGTGCTTTCTCTCCAACACCTAGAATAGTGCCTGACACCCAACAGCCAGTCAGTAAATGGCTGTTAAATTAATATACAAATAAAAGAAAAGGACTAGATTAACAAATGAATTATTAAAAATGAGAATGACTTATTTATAAGGCTCACATAAAAAATTAAATATCACCACATTAAAGGTACTCTGTTTCTCATCAAGGTGAGCTTTTGTTTGCTTTCCTTTATACTTTCCTAAATTCCTTCAAAAAGCATATATAATTTCATGTTACTTTAAAACTTAATTGTTAAAAAGGATAAGAGTAATAAAAGAGATAACAATGAGGTAAGGGAGACCTCGGAATCTGCCGTTATCAAGGCAGATAACAGCACATTTCCCAGGTACTTTGCTAGTCCACACACTGGAGCAGGGCAGGGGTTGGGGGAACGCATTCCACTTCACACTGTCAGAAAGGGACAGAGCCTCGGAGGCAAGTCCACTGATGTCTGTGTGCATCTCTACCCCACGCCATCCTGCTTCACTAGAAGACCACCGCCTTCCAAGTTTCCAAAGATTTTATATTAGAACTCAGAAAACCTACCAAATGCAGAAAGATTCTAATCAACACCGTACTGAAAATGTGGAATTACTATTAATCAAGCAATAAATTTGCTCACATTTTTCCCAAGTGATCTCATCTAACCAGTTATTATTATATAATGGGCCACACACTACTTGTGGCATTTTGTTTATATCACACGATTTCATTTTAAGGGCAGCCCTTGTTCAGAAAGGATTTATTAAGATGGTAATGTTCATCTGGCTCTATACTCAGAGCATGGGGAAGGAAGGATAAGAGAAGTAGAAGAATTTATAATATGGCTAAGAAAACATAAAACATGTCCAAAAAAGAAATTCAGAATAAATACAAAGCAGATGAAACAGTAACAGTACAGCATGGGCAGTACACAAAATC